GTTCAAATGGATTTGGAATTATTTTCCTCACTTCTAATTCAGTTTCCTAACTTCTCATTTCAGTTTATACAAACTTCTTACCAATTCTGCTTTAAAGGTGCTTTCTTTCTTTCTGCTTATTTGGCCATACATCTAATTTTTGTATGTGCATTTCTTTCCCGTGGGCTGTTTGTGTAGTACAGCTTATACTTATTGAGTCAATTTAATTTCATTCAGCAACATAGTTAATAATGATGAGAGAAACATCAAGAGAAACTTTTCAATGATTTCTGTTTATGTAGAAATTTGAAAATATGCAGAGCTTTCAATCTATCTTCTTCTGTAAGAAGTAAAAGTTTACTTTTAAACTCTCTACATGAAAAGTTTTCCTATCGCTAAGAAAATATCTTCCTATTATCATGAAAAAGTCAGTTCTGAAGGGAAATAATCAAGATGAAATTAAACAAAGGGATATTTAGACAGAAGTGAAGTTAATTTTTCTAATATGGTAGTCTGGCTAAAGTGTCTGGAAGGGAAAAACAAACCCCTTACATGGTACAGGTCATTATATGAGACAATATTAACTAGATTGGACAATAGAAAACCTGAACCAAACCCCAATCTTGCAGCAGAAAATGAATTATTTACCTGCTCCAGTACTACACCTAAAAATAATAAAGTATCAGATTTATTCAGTTTCAGAAGGGTGCAAAACTATGTAATAGCAGACAAAGCAGCATTTTATCAAAAGGAAAAAGTGGTTAGAAGATCCTAAAAAAACCTCCTGCAAATCAAATCCACCATTAAATGAAACTTTTCACATTGGAGAAGCAGCATCTTAATTAATTTAATAGAGCTGGCAATGAATTATTGCCAATTATATTAACAGCATCATTCTAACACAGTTAGGAATTCCTGAGATAGAAGTTTGCAACAAACTTCTGATTCTCAAAGAGATTTTCTTTTGTCCTCAACACAAATATAAAAATTAACACCAGCAATCAAATCTAACACTGAAAGTGATAATAGGTAAAGACTGAAAGCTCATGTGGAAGCAATAGTCTTCTGTTATAAGGCATAGAACAAGCAATTCAAATAATCATATTTTTTCTTATTTACAACTACTGATATATGACACTAGGAGATTCACTATTAATGCTGACAGTATTTAAAAAATGAGAAACACATAGAAGTTGGAAGAAGAAAATTGATGCTGACATTAACGTTAGATTTTTTAAAATCAAGAAATAATGATAGTAACATCTATGCAGAAATTTATCTTTGGCTCTACTTCATAAAGAAAAAAGAGCTTTCTGTCAGTAACACCACTTTTATATGTTTTATGCCTTTTACTCCTTTTACTAATAGTGGAAACAAATACTGATAAATAGCATGGAACAATACTTGGCGCAGTAATTTTTAAAGACCAACTTGTTCATCAATAGCTTTAAATCACTTTTCCTTGGGAGACAGGAGCAGTGAGTTCTGTTGGGCTCAGCAGTAACAGCAGACCCAGAGTCTGATGGTCAGACAATCAGTTAAAAGACAGCAATAAATTTATGTTTCATAATATCTTTTTTTTTCTTTGTGACATGTCCATTATAGAAAAAATCATTAACGGCCTTATTTACAGAGAATGAATCCCAGCCTTGAACAAACCCAATTTACCAATGACACTCTGCCAACAAATGCTGATTCACCAACTGAGCAAGCGAATTAACCATCATTTTCTGTACAAAATAACAGTAGACAAAAATATAACTTGGCAGTACTTCCCTCTTGTTAATGTGGACACTAATTAGTTATATAAAAAATATTTGAATTAAATATGTCAAGGTCTCAGAACTGTTTGAGTTCCTCTTTGCTTAATTAATCCAAATATTTAAATTTGCTTCTTTGTGTAATTTGGTGTTTCAACCAGAATCCCACAGACAGGCATATAAAATTATTATTTGCAGACTGCTTATGGAGCTCCCTTTTGAAACCTGCAACTAATATGAAGATATAATCCCCTTATACAAAACATTCTTTAAGCAACATGGTCTCTGTTAATTACCCAAGCACTTATTCTATTGTCTGATTGCCAGACCTCACCTAGCAGACAAATTATGAAGTTTCCTGATTCTTCTTTTCATTGTTGAGTTTCGAATATCCATACAAACACTTCAGCTAAAACTTTTTTCCTAATTTTCCCAGAAATTAAGGGAAAAATGATATTGTGGAAGCTGCAGTGATTAGCAACTGTCCAAAATTTTATTTTATTAAAAAAAAAAAAAGACAGAAAGCCAACACTGCTGTGTGCATTGGCCCATCTTAGTTTGCTATTTTCCCACAGTTCTCTTCAAATTATGTTCCTTGCAGTATCCACAGAGTGCTCTGCAATTAGTGTGATTATTGCTTGAGTTCTCTTTCACAGGACAAACTATAGTTTTTCATTGTTATCCCCAGAATCCTAGCACTTATACTCCATAGGCTTTTCTAACATAAATTAATTTTCCCTAGGAATACATTCTCCCTCTCTTTCATACACAACTTTAGCACTACAGTGAGCACTGAACAAAACCCAAAAACTGGTGAGATTTGAGTCTCCCTTACCTGCAAACAATGTAACAACACTGTTTAGCAGTAGAAGGAAAATAATGCATGACAATTTCTTTTGTTGCGGGCTAAAAATGGAATTAAATTATGAGTTCTATCATTAAATCCAAAGGCACAGTGCAGGATCTTCTATCTATTCAAAAACTATAGAAAACTTCTATCTAACTAAACAAGACAAGCTCATCTATCTTTTGATTTTAAAATGGACTGATATCATTAATTCTAAATTCCTGTTTCACCTTCTTTTCTGATCTAACCTATATTCAGAGCTCACACAAATTAAAATTATCCTTTTCTCTTGGTGGAATTTTAAAGCTCTCCTTTGTAACTTGCACCTGGTAGCAAGAATCTCATGTGAACAGACTCACAATTGCTTCAAGATGAGATGAGCTCCAAAAAGTCACATCTCACCCCATTTGCAGTGTCATAACTTACAGGTAATCTGTAATTACATTGTCTTCCTGGCAAGTACTGGAAGTAATATCAATATTCTTTATAAGCAGATCAGTCTTCCAGAGAAAATCTTCTGGACACATGGCAAACTGTGAGCACCCATGGGAACAAACGAGGATCTGTGCTGGGCTGCTCCATCACTGTCAGTAATTTGATATGAATTCAGAAATCTAGCCAGCATTTGGAAGCAATTCCTATAAATCTTTTTAATGTCACAAGCTGTATGACAGCTATTTTAATGATAAATAATAATATCCTACAGAAAGGAAAGCCATACAGATCAAAATGCTCACAGGCATTTTATCCTTTACTTTCTAAATGGGGCTTTGGATAAACATGCAGAAGGGATGCACTCTCAGAATTAAAGAATCAGAAGTGAGATGGAAGGTGTTTACTGGGACTTAAAAAAAAAAAAATGTTCTAGTCATGTTTTATTAATTAACAGGTGCAAGGCAAGGCTGCTAAGAGGGGCTCCTTCCATACTGCTCAACAGAACACAACTGCTATTACAAGAATTACAAAATATTATTTAACACCACAGAAATAAAGCAGAAGCTTGCTTCATTTTCAGAACAGAGGGCATGAATGTAATGCTCATACTAATATGGCATTTATTGGGATGAAAGAATTGAGTCTTAATAAAGTGATAAATAGATAATAAAGAGACTGCTGAAAAGCTCCAGATAATTTAGTTTTCAGATCACTGCCAGAGATTGTGTTGTGGAGTCAAAGAAATAAAATGAGAAAAAAACAAATAGCTCAAGGATAATAATAAACTTACTCCCTAAAATAGCAAATACTTGTTTCAATGGAGATAGAACTGCCAACACCACTAGGTTAGCAGAAGGCTAGCAACTTTTTAGGGTAGTATTTCTTGCAAATACAATAGCTAAAACTGATAACAAATTTTGAACTGACATATCCATAACACCTGCAGACTCACGTATGTAACATTATAAATAATTTTCCACAAATGGAAGCTTTTCTTTTCTCTGAAACCATGTTGCATCACATTTTTAGTAATACTTACACAGAATAAATCAGATTCTTTCCATGAGGAAATTACCACTTAAACACTGAACAGAAGTGGTTAAGACATTGCTAAGAAGCAATCTACTGATATAATTTTACTAACTTGGTTGAACAACTGCCAAGCCAGATCAGTCTTAAACAGCATTTAATCCAAGATGCAGCTTTGAGGAGTGTTTTTTACCAAATGCTTCAGAGGCAAGTCAAAGAAACATCAGAATAAGCATTCATTTGGTAAATGTACACAAAAAACCATCTAAAAAGCATAATTTATGTAAGTGAAATTGAACTCCATTTTATGCATACCACTTCACACTGGTTTTGTAATCTAGAACGTGCCTTACACTATTTTCCATTCATGTAAAATATTGATAAATTCAGAAAGCTCAGGAACAGCAGTGGGGTCATTAGTTGAAGGCCTCTGTGCCCTTACACCAGAGCAGCTGTGGAATATTCTAACTCCAGATGAGCTGCGCAGGCATGGCTGAGCACTGAACCTGACATGCTCACTTCAGACAGTATTTATTATGGTAGGAGTAGCCTTCTCCCTGTGTGTCATGTTACATCTGGTAAATATACAGGTTTAAATGCAAACTGAGAACGAGTCTGGAAAGACCTGATTAGGATGAGAAAAATGTGCTCTGTGCTGAAGAATAACAAATATGTTACTTTATAGCTGCCAAAAGGTAAAAGAGTTGTAGGGCATGCAAGTATGGTCAGACTTTGTCTAACAGACAGGTGAAACAAGTTATCCCTTCCAACCTCCTATTGTTTTTTGAAACAAAATTTAACCTGATTACCAAAAAAAAAAAAAAAGTTCACGTGTCTTTTTGAGGTTAAAATTATTAAACAAAATACCCACCTATTGCTGTGTAAGGTCAACTGATCTTAACCATGTAACTTCATAAACTACAAGTGAAACCAAATATTTTATTTCTAACCTCTGCTGCCAGCTGCTGAAGAGAAGGAGATGCCACGGGCCGTAAAGTTGAGTTGCCTGTGACTGGATTATGGAGGCTGATGTAGGCCACAACATTTTTTTGAAGAACACTCCTCAGATCCTACAACACAAGCAGAAAAATGGTTACTACCCTGCATCATTATAATTAAGGCTGGTTTTGTTCTTCTGGTTGCTTCTAGGGAAAAACTGCATCCTACATTTACATCCTCTGTGATTCCCCAAGCATTGGTTAACTACTGCTTCTCACAATATACTCTTGTAAACTTCAAAGGATATCTCAGTGCTAGCTCTCTATATAGCAGAAGTTATAATTCCATTTCACACATCATCTAAAGAAAATGCAAACAGGTCTGGGAGGAATTAAAAATTACTACATTTGTAAGGCAAAAAATGAAAACATTACACACTGTGAAACAACACAATGGCCTTTTAAACTTATGCCTTACAGAAGACAAACTTCAAAAGCAATCATTATCAACAGTTAAATGGACTCAAATATTTAGAGACCAAACTCTGATTTGAATTGCATAACTTTCCCAGTGTTTTCATTTTATTATTTTTTAGACTATAAAAATAGCATGTACAAACTGTTTCAATTATTATCTCTTTTTTAAAAGGATCCCCTTTGCCTTCTCAGTAATGAGTTCCTCTTTGCATGAAGTGGCTCTTTATATTGAACAGAAGGGGTGTAACGCAATTACATCTGATGCAAAGCTGACTTGAAGTGGAACTAAACAAATTTTGCTTCCAGCCTGGATCTTTTCAATTTGATTTTTTCACCCCCTCTTGTTTCTGAAGAATAATCATGTTGGAAGTATGAAATTTCAATGAGGGCTGGCTGCTTCTTATGCATGGTAAAAAGCAATTAACTCTTTATTTTATCTACTGTTTTAATTCATTGAACCATTAGAGTTGGAAAAGCAGCCATGAAATTCTCTTCCTAGAGGAGTAGAAACTCCTTTAATTTATGACCTGAAGTCTATGTTGGCCAAGTATGATCATCAACATTTTTTGAGGTGTTTTTTTTTTTTTTTTTTTCAACCAGCTGATTCCCATTCTACTGAAAGTAAGAGCCCAAGGAATCGTCTGTTTGGGATTGTATCCAACTCCTCAGCACAAACCTGTGAGAAGTGAATCAGCACTAGACATGGAGACACTGCAAGGTTTGTTTAATTCATGTAAACCATACCATGGTTCTCTTCTTTCTCTCTTTAGTCACTTCTCTCCACACTAAGCCTATCGATGAAAAATTATTAAATATTAAACCCTCAAGAAGGTGAAAAAGCTCCCTAAGCGCTTTCTGTGCCTGTGCTCTTTTTTGAGGTTTCCCTCCCTCTGTCAAACCCTGGCAATGCCCTTTTAGAGCTGTGCTGAAGCAGGGAGGGAAAGCAACTCCCAAGGGTGCTGTATATGCAACCTCCACAGCCACGGCAACCTCCTGGCACCTCATTATCCCAGGAATGGCCTCCACAGATGTTTTTCCTCAATTTCTGTGCAGTACATGAATGAACACAGACAGATCTCAGAGGGCAGTTAATGAGCCACAATTTCCATGTGGTAATTTCATATTGTTTCCACGCTTTCAGCAGAAGGAACCCTCCCTGCAGTGAGTCCTCCCAGAGCAGCTTTACCTCAGCCCACTCGTAGGAGCCGACGTTCCCCAGGGCTGTTCCTCCCCACGAGCAGAAGAGCAGGGTCCTGTCAGGCCTCCAGCCCCTCCTCACCTCTGGCATCAGGGCCTGGAGCAGGGCTGTGATCACAGCAGTGCTGCTGGCCCAGCCTTGCCCACCAAAACCCTGCAAACTGCTGTGATGGCTACCGACGATGACGTATCTGTCTGAAATGAGGAATAAAAATAAAATAAAAAAAAACCCAAAAAAATCAAACCTTTTTTTCTGGGTGCTCAGATTAAAAGAATTCCAAACAATCCTAAAAATTAACTGTATTAGTAGTGTGTAATGTCATTAATGCAACACAAAGCTGTCAACAGAAAAGTATACGATGACATGCAAAACAATCATACAACAATTATACACAAAACTGTGAGTGCTACTTAAAAATGAACTAGTGGATAAATATACGTATACAGTTTCCTAAATTAATCCACATGCCCTTGCCTTCCTTGTTTGCTTATTGCTCTCCTTATAGATCTGATATAGAGTATTTTTGCAGTCAGGATTAGGTCATATAGACAATCATGCTCACAGTAGAGTGTTATGAAAAAACATAAAATAATAAGCAGGATATAATCCTCAATACACATAAGCATCAAACAAACAAACAAACAAAACCCAAAAAACCCAAAAAACCCCAAAAATCCAAAAAGAATTTAAAAAAAAGTAAAATAAAACAAAAGGTGTGGTAGTACAGTGGGAAACAAAGAAAATACATAAAGTATTAGTACTCCCTCACCTGGAAGACTGTGTTCAGTGCTCACCACCCTATCTCAAAAAAGACATGGCAGAAACAGCAGTGGAGCAGCTGGCAAGCAGATTAGAGATGATCAGGACTTAGCCTTATGTGGAAGGAGACATTAAAATATCTGGACTGCAGGTTTGGAGAGGAGACATGACAGAGGGATAGAGATAATGAATGATACAGATATGGTAAGTCACACCTAGCAGCTGTGTTAATGCTGGAAGAAAGCATTTTATAGAATGAAAAGCAAGAAGTTTCAGCATGAAATAAAAAATATGCCTATGGTTACTCATGGGAAAAAAAACCCTCAAAAAACAAACACACATTTTTTTTTCCAGAGAAATAAAATTAAATTGTAATCTCCCAAGGCATTATACATAACCCCAATACTACTCACAGGGAGAAAGAAAGCCTTATTTTACTTCAGAACCAATGATGTGTTATGAAATAACCTGACTGACTGGTGTGACTGAGGCCTGTCAAGAAGTCCAAACAGTTATTCTGAATGAGCTATAAACTTTTAGACCTTCTGTGTCAGAGGAATTCACAACCCTCTTTGAAGGACTGCTTACTGATTTTGCTCAGATATTTTGTAAAGTCTCCTTCTGCCCAGATCTAGACTTTTAAAGGTGTTTTTTTCCTATTTCAGCATATCAATAGACAACAGAAGAACAGTTATCAGCAGTGAAGAACAGTGATGACAGACCCATAGCAACCCCTGAGTGTCATTTGGGTTCCAAAAAGTGGAAAAGTTTTCTTTCACCAAGTGAACTCATTCACTTGCTGTCAGTTGATCACAATGCAGCAACAGATTATTGCACATTACCCACATTTTGTATTTGCTTATAAAATTAAAATACCTCCCCTGTATGTTTTGCAGTGACTGCTGCCTGGGAACAATATTAATAGAACACTTTGATTAAAAAAGCATTCTCTATCAAACTGGAGTTTCACCAGCATTGTTCAACAAAATATTTGAACATGTTGTTTAATAAGGAATAAAAAATGCTTTACAAAGAGATGATTTTTTTATGTACCTGTAACACAACATTTTCAATCAACTTTGGGGATGTGTAGGTATGGAAACGAGAATTTCATTCTAAAAACAGATATGCAAAGTGTCAACCTAGATTTACATAGTAATTTCATGTAACAAAATGAAATCTAAATCATATAATTTTGCAACTTGTGTGTTGCACCATGATATGCTTAATTATGGGTTGCACTGACAATGAAAAGACATAGGATTTTCAACTCATTAAATGACAGGAATTAGGAACCAAAATGAATGGCCCGACACGCCCCTAGGTCATTAATGGAAGAGCCACTAACACAGGGGGATCAGGCAGGATCAATGCTTGCCTGTATAATAATTCCTGTTTGGCCTGTGAACAGACCATGTGAGAGGAGAGACACCTTATTAAAATAATGCAGGATGTTTTGATTGAGAAGGAAGCATCAACTTACTGCTGGAGATGCCAGCTGAATGAGCAGGGGGAAAACATAACAGCTGGTGCCTCCTCTAAAATTCTTCATCTTTGCACATCTCTCCCTCAAAGAGAGGCAGAACCCTAAAGCAAATGACTACAGGAAAATCAAGCTGGTGCCTCCTCTAAAATTCTTCATCTTTGCACATCTCTCCCTCAAAGTGAGGCAGAACCCTCAAAGCAAATGACTACAGGAAAATCAGAGGAGAAAGGATGGTCATGCTTGCAGAGGCAGCAGCTGTCCTTTCTCAGAATCACATGGCAATAATAAAAAAAAGAGAAAAGACTGGAGACAGAGAAAAAAATGTCCATCAGATACCCCTGATACCCTGAACACCCAGGATAGTGTTCAGGTTAGTGATGGGCTGGGATTTATCAACAACAGGGATTTATCATTAAAAGGAGTCTCTTTATCTAGTCTTTTCTTGTTATACATCCCATCTTCAACCATGTCCAATACAGCTATAAAAATGTTACATTTTTGATGATGGGCTGGGATTTATCAACAACAGGGATTTATCATTAAAAGGAGTCTCTTTATCTTGTCTTTTCTTGTTATACATCCATCTTCAACCATGTCCAATAGAGCTATAAAAATGTTACATTTTTTGGGTTTTAAAATGTTACCAACTATCACATTTCATCTACTCCTAATGATTTTAACATCTTAGTTACACTTCAGATGCTCGTTCTTACTCCTCAGATCAAATGCCAGCTAAGGTCAGCATTACAGAGATGTGTGTGTTTGGTGGACTTTAAGCAAAAAGTAATAAATTCTGCCCTTGGTGATGCTCTGCAGTCTTTCATTAAGCACTAAAGATAAATTTTGCCTTCTTTCTGCACTTCTGCGAACATAAAGGTGAATATTTCATGTGTATGAAATGAGCAAAACCCCATCAAAATGACAGAGAATCGATGCCATGAAAATATCAAGATTCAAAGCAGTTGAGGAGGAACGACTGCAGTGTCAACCAGGCAGAGTAGAGAAAGAAAAAAAGGTTTAACATTGATTGTGTACAAAATATTACAGAGCATTAGACATTTAACTTGTGCCTACAGTAGAAGACAGTTGTTACGGCTCTCGTTGAGCCAGACATCCATGGGACAAACTGTTGCTCCTGTTTGTGTAGCTGCTACTGACTTCACACATTTACAAACCCTTGTATACCTAAAGTTCAGCATATATTGGCAAACCTCCAAAAAGTAGTTTCTGATTAAAAATGTAATAATAAGATGAAAGGTTCAGGTTTAGGGAAGATGGAATACTTTTTAAACAGAAACTGAAGCACACTTTCTGTTCTTTTTCTTGCCTCTGTTTCACAATTCAGAAGACAGAATGTCTAAACATGGCAGTTTCTGCCTTTCCAACTCCATGACAGCTATTTGCAAAACATTAATAATAGCAGACTGGTAACTTCAAATTCATGAAGGAAATTAAATCCTTCATAGAAATTAAATTCTCTGTGCTAATTGTTTCCTCTGTTGCTTTAAACAAACCAAAAGTCTGGTGAGAACTATAGAGTTTTGCATGCACAAAACTGAGTTATTATTTCACCAACAGGAATAAAATTTTCTCCACCTTTTTCATTCCATTTGTTAAAATATGAAATGACTGGCCCATCTCCTAAGGGACTCTAAATAAATTTCCATCCTTTCTTCATAACCTAATATAAGAGTATTAAGACAAGGATGATGCTGTTTTGATGATCATCTGCACATTAGGAATTGTTTGCACTATTTAAGTAACCAGCAACAGTATTCATTCATGTTGCAGAAACCCTTCACCTTTTAGGTTAATTCACTAACAAAACAATCTCCAAATTATCTTATATCCTGATGATAACATTATTTATGTACAGCATCAAAGGACAGAGGGAGGTTGTGCTTATGTCCCAATTGCATTTAGACTTCTATTGTTCAATCATCAGACACAGAGAACAGTAATTATTATTCATAGAATTGCATAAAACTAGCTTAAGGCATGATTGAGACACAAAATAAGGCTGCAGCAAGTGTTAAAACCATATTAAAATTAAAACCATTAAACAGCTGCTTGTACAAAGTACTGATACTCTCTGTGGTCCATGTGCAACACCTGCTGCTCGTGTACAAAATATGCTTTTTCTAACTACAATATCCCCTTCAGCTCATTCTCTGTTTAATCCTCATATTCTGTTTTGTCACAAATCAAAAAATGAGTACAAAAAAGTCTTTTTCTCTCCTCTCTATTACTGAATTATCTGGAAAAGAGGATCCTGATCCCAGCTATGACTCCCACCCATTGTGAGACAAATAATCAATACAAATGACAAAGGGATACTTACCAGGAAATACAGCTCCTTTTAGATATCCAATGACATTAGAAATTGTCTTGTAAGTTGTCACAGACTGAATGTTCAGACTGATAGTTTTTTTGACTATTAAAAGATGAAAAAAGAGAAAATATTGAACTTATTTACCCAGCCAAGAAATGTACAGGCCAAAGACATAAATTCCACACACATTTAGAAAAAAAAAAATTGAAATGAGGTTTAAAAAAAACAACTGAATAGGAACCACAGATTAAAACATGAAATATGACATTAGTTTCTTAGACCTATTTTAGCAGCATGATTCAAAGATGGAATCTCAAAAGAGATCTCTACTCCTTGAGTTAAAAGATCATTGAATTCACCCAATAAATTCTGCCAGAATACAACAAGAAAAGAAAATTTATAAGAGTAGGATTTATATAACTCTGTGATAACAAAATTTGCCTTAAACTTCATAGGTTTTTCTCACCTAATCCTTCACCTAGGTCAATCTGTCAATAACACTCACAAAATCATAGGTGGTTTATATTACATTTTCTTCTGGAGAAAAGCCCCTGTGTTAAATCACATGGGAGCAGTCAGACCTCCCCACAGCACTGCCAGCACAGCCTTTGGTGATGTTCCTGTGAACATATGCCAACAGAAGCCAGGGTTTTTGGCTTAGCTGGCATCAGATGAGGACATAGTGCAAATACAAAGGCAGAACAATTTCAAAAGCTGCTAAAATGTAAGGAACTTGCCAGGACTGCCATGCCATTTGTGACTCTAGCACAGAATAAAGCCAGAGTAGAGCAAATATCTGAGTTTAAATAGATTAAAAGAAGGTGGGACACAGTAACCACAGGAGTTCCTGCAGTTTGTGACAGTGGAAACCAAACAACCAAGCACGGGGAGCTGCTGACACCTTCCAAATGTTTCATTTGCATGAAAACAGACTGTGTGAACATCCAGCTCATCTGAAAGGTCACAACTTCTATCCAAGAGAAATGAAAACTGCTTGAACTCAAAAAGCATCAGCAGTGTGAGAATAGCAGTGCCTGAGCCCAGACCTGCAGGGGGATTCTCCTCCACCCATGAATTCTCCACCCCCTGTGCTTGAAGCATCTCTGGGACACAATTCCTCCCATGTCCACATCCCAACAGCCACAGACCACAATTAAAATACTCCACAGATCATTCTGCTCTCTATGTCCCAGGCCATTACCCTCCCATGGATCTATTTCTAACAGTTCCTTCCCAGGCTTTGTTTATTGAGGTGCACAGAATATGTGAGTGGGGAGTTTACTGCAACATGTGAAACAAAAACAACGCATGGTTACTGTTCTTCACGGTTCACTTGCTGGCTCATACAGTAAATTTACTTCAAAATGTTCTTAAAATAAAATACAGTATATTTTAAGTCACTCATCTTCATTGGTATTTAAAAAAAAAAAGTGAACTGCTAGTGTTTGTTTAAAACATGAATTAACAATAGTTATTCTACTTTTAATTCAGACAAAACCTCTAAAGTTATCAACAGATGTGTCTTCTCTATGAGAATTCTGGTTTTGCTTGAACAAACCAGTAAGGAAAATGCAAACCAAGTAGTTAATTAAAAATAAACCCTGGCACATGACTTTGCAACAACCAGTCACAGCACATTAATATTTTTATTTGTCATGTAATTAACTTTCCTTTTCTGATGTAAGTTACTGTATTTTAAAATTATTATTAATGCCATGTAAATGAATTTTTTCTTCAATAAATCCACAGATATTTTAGAATTAAAAAAAAAATCATTAAAAAAATAGTCCAAAGGATTCCCAAAGGGTCTTTTAAAACAAGTGAAAACAGCTCAAGCCATCTATGTTGATTAAGCAGCTTAAATTTAATCTAAACTATGCAAGTTACTTCTTGCTGCTGTTTCTCACCTACAACCATTCTAGAACCAATTTACTCTTCTTAAAGAAAAACATATTTTAAAGTCAAAACTGATTTCCTTTCCTTTTCCTACAACACTTTAGATGTTTGTTCCTTTAGGCCCAGTCTCAGACAAAAAGAAGATAAATCCTTTTGAAGATAACCGACTTCACTGTTTTTCCTTAACCAACATCAGCTATCCAGTCTCTAACTGACAATAAAGACACAGAAAATTAACTTCTGGCAATGCCCACATTCTCCAATCAGACACTCGAGTTAATAGTCATGTAACACAGTAGTCAGCTTAAAGTGACTTGGGCTTAAAGGCTTAGAACACCAGATGAAAAGGCTGAAACTGCTCTTTGGAGTATACAGCAGCAGCAAAATTTAATCCCCTCTAAACAGTTCTGACAACAAACCTCTTGTCCTAATGCTGTATTTTAAGAATCTTGACAACTTTCTCCTTTCTTTATTTTTTCTATACTCTCTGAAAAGCTATGAGGAGACGTTACCTTACCAATATTCAGGATACACTGTCTTCATGTAAGCAGAAAGGTACTTCTGGGATAGATAACCGCAAACACAATTACTGGTTTTATTTATTTATTTATTTCCTGACCTGGAACTTTTAATTGTCTCATACCAAATAACTACCTTCACCTCTGACATTTACATAGTTATTTTTAGAAACCCATGGCTATTTTTCCTCTCATTTGATGGACAATTTTAGTACTTCAGATGTGAAAAACCTATTTCCTATTTTTTCCTATTTACAGTAGTTATGTTAAAATAACATGAGTTAGGCACTTTTTTGGGTTTCTTTTTTTTTGTTTGTTTGGGTTTTTTTGGTTTTTTTTGTTTGTTTGTTTTTTCTTGTAACTTCATCCCCAGCATAGAGGAGTACAAGTTTGAGTCTCATTATCAAACATGTTGGTTACATTCTTGAATCCTGATCATGCACCTTTCATCAGACAGTTTTCTGAGTATTTGACTACTGGATTTTGTAAAGCATCTTCAGGAACTCAGGTTTGAAAACTGAACTCATTTGACAAGATTTTTGCTAATCACTGAAAACAATTCTCTACGTGCACACTTAACTGAAGCATAGAAAAATCAAGTATTAACTGAATTTAAGGATTTCAACAGAATAACTCCTGGATAATAAAACCCAAAGCTACTTCAGTAGCCTTCTGAAATAAAGTACATTAAATAACTTCAATTAACGCAGTAATGCAGTTTTTGGGGAAGTTCCTGTTGAAATCAACACCCGAATGAATGTGAACCTGTCTAAAATCACAACTGAACTAGAGATTTCAAACATCATCAAATATCCATGCTCATGTGACTTAGGGGACACTAACTGAGCTGAAATAATCAGCATAAAACTGCACTTGACAGATCATCATGTCAATTTGAGTGCAAAACCTTATTTACTATGTATTTTATGTCAGTTTTCAAGTTCAAACACAGAAGTTTAAGTGAAGAAATATAATCATCATACACATTTATGTAACAGCAGCACTTACAAAAAACACTATATGCAACATGCTACACATGGAAAAGAGAATAAATATAAAATAGTACAGACTTAATAATGTATATAATCTCAGAAAAATATTGTATGATACTATAAAATTACATATGCAAAAATCAATACTGAATGTATGCAATGTACAGTATTGTTGAGGTATAAAACTATTTGGACAGGAATATGTCAGAACTCCTAGCCAGATGTCCTTGTAATGAAAAGCCTTCACTTTTTTTGTGTACAAACAATACACCATCTAAATCTGATATCTCTAATATTTTTCCCTAATAGATTTCTATTTGATTAGTCAACTATGTTGCCTACTGACAATGTATTCTCCTTTTTGAACAAATATTCATAGATCTTGAGTCTCCAAATCTAATCTTAGTATGAAGAGCTTAACGAATAAACTCCTTGGTATTTGATCATCATCTTTTTTGACCTACAATGAGGAATCCAGAAATAAAACTCTTCAGATGAAGAGTTTTTGAAATAAGAAATGCCTAGAATAAAGTCCTTTAAGGGGGCTTTAAACTAGGAAGGCCTAATGTGATACAGAATAAATGTGTCACAGTCAACATCAAAGAGAGCTGAAAATGCTTCAGAGGGTAGAGTTGAATTTCATAACCTCATACTACTTTCATTCTTTACCTGCTTTATAGCAATCAAAAGCAAAGAATCACAGAGGAAAACACTGGTGCAGAACAGAACTCTGAAAATATATCTCGATAATTTACAATTCTGGTAGAAAAACTCTCGAGGCTTCAGTTGGGAGTAGAGGGAAGATATATAAAAAATGCTTCACACTGTTCATGCTTAATTCTTCTCATGAACTTCTGTTTAAAAAAGGAACAGAATTTAAAGTGATCATGAAAAGAAAAGCAGAGAGTATTGGTATAAATGTCTGTAAGTTTTCATATACAGGATGTCCAAATTAGATCAGAGCTCCCTATTTAATTTGTTCTTCTTTCAAATGCCAGTAAGAGACATCTGCTGAACTTTGTTATATTTCTACTGCTATGTACAATAACTCCAGATTTGGTAGATGCAGTAACATGCACTGCCACACAATCTGTTGGCATCTTTCTCTATTTTCTTCCTTGGATTCATATTTAGCATAGTCCAAATACCCAGAAATTATGGTATTGTTTGCATATTGATATCACAGTGTGAGATGGCCCAGACAGAAGTTTATTAAATATGGGAGTCTTTATTTCCTCTGACAGGTAGCAAACTATGAAGGAGAAACACATATAATATTATCACAAGGCTGTAGTTTAACAGGAGGAGATAGTCACTTTATCACTCCATGCCCTTCCTCTGACTGAAAAGAAGACAGGCTTGATTTGCACTTGTGCAACACTTGGCAGAGAATTTTATTTATCTTGGATGAGAATCGTATAATATGGAAAGTAACAGACTCTTCCAATTATTCCTTTCGTATAATTAATGATTCAAATTTCACATGATCAGAGTTGACTATAAACTCAGTGTAATGAACATCTGACACGTGGCACTACATAAAATAGATGTTCAAAGTCTCATAAAAATTCATTGTGTTGTGCTACAAACCTCTCCTGTAACAGTCAGTTCTGGTTATCTGTTCCACTCACCCATTTTGTCAGAGGAGGTAGATTTGTTTGCAGCCTACAACGAGCTCTGCACTGCAGTCACTGTGATGATTCACTATTGATCAGTGACTGCATTTTGTAGACTAAAAAAAAGGTTACAAAAGATCAAAAGATTCTACCTAGAAAAGCATTTTGATCTGAGTAATTTTACTGTCTGCAGCAGAATGCTGGGAGTCTTTGTATACCTGGCTCTATTATTCACACAGTGTTTGATATCATTCAAGTTACTTAAACTATTCATGCCTTGCCTTTATAATTTTAGAAGTATAAAAAATATTACACCTATTGCACAGGAAAAGGCATTAGGAGGAGATAAGAAGTGGGATATTTAAGTGAGATCACTTACATTTACACTTCCTATCAAATGAGCTGCCATAGTAGGTCACACCAAGTGACCATCCAGTCCTTATCTCCCAGAGTGACCAGCAACATAAATGAGGAGAAGAATGGAAAAATAGGATGAACCATAGAACAGGAGGATGTCCCAGACACCTGGAGACTGATCACTACTGAAATCCTGGATCTTTCTCACTTTCTCTCCTCTCAGACATTAATCAGGTTAAGTATGAAAACTGACACTTAAAACCAAAGGGAAAAATTACACACATAACACTGATGTGTTTAAATAGCAGGCTTCCAGGATTTCCATTCAAACCGAAGTATATGGTCATTAGTGTCAAAAAAACACTTTGTAAATTAATTGCCATTAGACAGATTTACATTAAATACCCAAGAGTTTAATTGAAAAAGGGTAATTTGTACATTAGTGCACTCTCCCAAATAGTGGGAAACTTAACAACAACAAAGGCAGTTCACTGTACACAGCAAGACTTCCCTCATTTATGTTTATAGGAGTGCTCAAGTTTTACAGCAATCTTCAAAATGTTCTAGCAAATATCCGACTAAGATTTCGTAAAAGAAAAAAAAAAAAGGAAGCTTCAAAAGTTTACAGTTTCTCTACAGAAGTTCACTCTGAAATTCCTTCTAATTGCCTATCTTTGGGAAAAAGTTCACGGGAGCACAGAATTTCAGATTAATGAGGATTAACAATAATGTACCATACCAAACAAAAAGCAAATCTAATTACTGACTTCATCTAACACCAAATTAACAGCTGACTTCAATTCCCACTATTTGCTTTGTAGGTCCTCAGCACACAATCTGTGTGGGGTGTTTGCCTCCATCCTCCCACTCCCTCTGTCACATTTTGTCTCTTGAAAACTGCAAGGCTAAGGGAAAAAAGCAGCAATGTGAGAAAACTATATATAAATGTTTAATCATTACTGATGAATCTGCTGTTCAGCTTTTTGAAACATAATGATGAGAGAATGATGATCATTTTATCCTAACAAATTTCAAGCCAACCAATCATCTGAATTGCTCATTCACCTCTTTTGACAGATAAGCGATGAGTCCTACGTCAGAAGTGAAATCTCTCTCTTAAGCTTCTTCAAATCAACAGGAAGAGTGAAAATTCAACCTTTGCTCTTCTCTAATGCCTTGCTGTCCTCAGCATTATCTCTTTAGCTATTACTAGTATTAAATTGTTATACACCATTTTTATCATGAGACCAGGCTTTTATCTCTTCTATTAAGGCTGCTACTGAACAACAGCACACTCTGTGCTCCAGAACATCAACAGCTTCACCATTACTTCAAGGAAAAATATAATACTTTACAGAATTATTCAAGCCTTCCTCTTGTAGTCCTTATTTTTTCAATAAATAAAAACTTTAAAAAAATTCCCTATGGATTACTGTGATTCGGAAACTTTACATGAAATCACACACAAGCTGCTGTGTTCACCCAGAGAAAACCAGACATGGACTGGCTCTCACTAGACTGCTGGCTTGGAATATTCTTTCTCTCCAGAAATTCTCCTCTCACAGAATTCCTGTCCTCTCAGGGAAATAAAACAGACATGCCACACCTGCCCCAGAAAAAGCAAAATCAGCCCTTTAGGGGGATTCTGTCCTGTAGCCTCCAGAAAAAGCTTTTTGAGAAACAGACATGGTGCAGCCTTTTATCTTTCTAAAATGAGTGTCATTTTCCAGCCCAAATTCAGGCTTTGCTCCAGGCACTTCAGCTGTTGAAAATTCCTTCAATAGTAACAAGCTTCATGCAGCCTACCTGGAATGGTTAAGCACTTGTTCCTTCCAAAATGGCCTTTTCCCCTTTTCTACTCATTGTGGGGACAATAATTTTTAAAATTAAAAGTTCATTTTTAAAAAATCTAGTCAACCATGCATGGAGAACAATTGTCCTGCCTAACTACAACAGCTTAAGCCATGAAGCATGAGGTCTTCTGCCTTCCTTTTTAGTATGTATAACTACAAATGCTAACACAAGTCATAAAATTAATCAACCTTTTTTATGACTTGTTGTATTGTATTCCTATTCCACAATAACTTTCCAAAAGCAATAAACAAGGGATACAGCACATGATACTACATTGGTTGCCCTTAAAATTTGTTTTCACTGTTATCATCACTGTGTGTAGTACAGGATACAGTGGCTAAATTAATTTGCCTCCTCCTTTCCAAGACCACAGTTTTAAATCAATTCAATTAAATGGGCATTATAATGAAATAAACAATTTTTTTTCTGGTGAAAGATGGACAGGTACAAAATAAAACTGAAGATGTTTACTGAAGAATTACTGTTAAAACATGCACCTCATCTAGAAGGTTCTCTGGAAGATGTTCTCCTGGTGAAACACTGTGCTGGAAGATTGTAGTCTTATTTTTTTTTTCCTTTCCTATATCAGCAATAAGTTTTTTCAAGCAATAATATGTTTGACTTTGCTAATGGCATTATTTCTAGGGAGACAGTATGAATGCATTCATCTGGCTCTACTCAAGGTATATTGTTCTTATCATCATGCCTGTTTTCCTGGTGAAAATTGGGAGAAAAAGCTGTCTGGGGTTCTGGCAACAATACACTGTTTATTCCATAGCATATACAAATTAAGGAACACAAAGACACATTCAGAATTTAAGTGTTATTATTCCAGAAACAGAAAAAAAATCCCCACGGAATATTATAGTTACTGATGCCTTAATGCTAAAATCACACTATTAGGAGTACAATAAGGCCTAACAAACCATGCTGCAGCACCAACAAACCTCCCTAGTGCTGGCATCTACACAGAGGAGGTTCTAAGTCAATATCAAGAATTAATGCTCAATTTCTTCTACTATTTTTTTGTAACCACAACTACCATCTATCAGATTTTAAGAGCAGAATCTTTAGACTGTTCATAGCCACTTCTAGAAAGCAGCTAAGCAAAACACATCCATAATCAGCTAAACCTTGGTTGTATAGCTGTAGAAAGAGGCTTTGGAGTCCAAGAGAAACATCCCATAGGTGAAGTGTATTGGAAAAGCATTACCTGCAGCTGGCAGCTGGAGGGGTGTACATCTGTCTTTTTGGGAAGTGTCCTTGGGTAGGGAAACGAGTTTTCTGGCAAGCACTGCAGAAATTGGTTGTACCAACAGTGTTGTGAGGTTCAGTCGATTTTGCCTGTAGCTTCCATCTTAAATGACAGAAAGGGAAGAGCAATCTAGTAAATGAAAATTAGATTTTTCTCCTTCATAAACCATACACAAAAATGCAAATCTCTACCACACAACTTAAAATGACTGATTTAGATAAGCAGCTGTTGTTCTGTGCTTATTATACTGAAAAAAAAATAAAATTAAAAAGCTTCTGCAAGAACATCTACTACAAAATTACATGTACCTATTATGGTATCTGGGTAATAGTTCCACAACAAAGAAACTGTTAAATGAATCTGAGCAGATATTACATTGTAAATTAAACACAACAAATTAAATTGGTGTGTAGCTAAAGGAATCACTGAAAAATGGAAGAACTGATCAGCAATAACTTTCAAATTCAAGTAGAAACTGAACAGCTGAAGGAGGTCTGGAATAAGAAGGTATTAAACAGGCACATTGAGCGGAGAAAGGTATGAATCAGAAAGCATCAGAATACTCCATTTACAGCTGAAACATCTCAAGAAGACATAGCACAAACATCTCAATATCAGTAGTTTCATGCAAAGTATTAAAATCTCCCTTTAACTGAAAAAAGTGAGTTTGCATACACCTGCCTGTCTAACACTTGATCATGGAAAGGTCTCAGATGAGATAATGAGAAATTTTGGGAGACCAACTGACAGAACTGTGGGGAAAATTAAAAACCTGACTTTGCACACAGAAACACTTCAGGAAAAAACAGCTATTTCCTCAGCTCTTTCAGCTGGACTAATATGGGGATCATCTCTTCCCATGGAAAGCAGGAACATTTCTGGCAGATGAAAAGGCCAGCTTGGAAAAGGAGGGGAGGCTGATAGCCTGGGCAGGACACAGCTCTGACACAACCTGAAACAGCCTCACAATGTACCTGCCCCTGCTGAATCACGTCCAAAGCTTCAACCAGAGATTCAGATTACAAGGCCTCTCCCCGAGACCTCTGTGAAACAAACACTGTATTTCCTGTCAGCACTGAGTTCTTTACTATCCAAGCATCTTTTAAATTCCCTGGGACTGCAGGCACAAGGGGAGGAAGCTATCAGCAATCAGCAGCATGTTTCAAATAGATTTCTATGGAACTACTATCAAGACTGTTGTTACTGAAACACAGTTCAAAGAAAAAAAAAAAGAAATCTAGACACATCCTTAATTTTTCTTTTTGTTCTAAAAACTCATGAAACTTTGTATAGTACACCTTTAATCCTAATGAAAAAATTGATCAAAGCTGTGTCATTTCATTATGGAAAAACAAAAAGTGTTGTTCACCTTTAATACTCAGTGGCAAGGTGATCAGTGCTCAGTATGAAAGTGTCAGACAAATTTTTAGATGGAAAGGTAAAGATGGTTCAAAATATAATTTTTTTAAAAACTTTATCTCATCAAAGTTGTTCTGGGCTCAAAATCTCTTAAAGTTGTCACTTCAGTAAAATGATGGCAAAATCAGTTTGATCAAGCTTTGAGAGTCTGTTTCTGCACTCAAAAAGAATCCCAAAAAGTCCATCAGAGATGTGCAATTGAGACATTATTTTCTGTCCAGTGTTTGTCAATCTGCAGACTGTATTACAGGGGCAATGAAGCTCAAAACGTTTCAGATGAGAAAAACCTCTCCTTTCTCCAGTTACTCACAACTTGAGCTTCACACCTGAATAACCTGTGAAAGATACACTTTCAAGAACAACTTACAGGAGAAACCCCTCCATATTTAAAAATGAATCATTTCACAACAGAAGATGGAGTTTGAAGCATGGGAGAAAAAGGGAAAAAGAAATCTACAGAAAGGCGGATTTAAGTTATCTGGGCAGATTTATCTGGAAGAAAAACTTTCTAATAGGAGGAATTCATAAAGACTTGCCTAGGCAGGTGATAAAATCTCTTAAACTGAAATCTCTTTAGAGAAAAGTGTAAGCAAACATCTGTCAGGAATGATGCAGATATGGCTGATGCCCTCCCTGAGGGAAGGTGCTACATTAGATGACCTCTTGACATCTTTTCCAGACCTAAATTCTGTAAAATTCTCTAGTAAATAAACTTGACAAACTAATAACAGAGAAAAAAAACACTATTGGAATTTATATTAACAATGCTTTAAAAAAAACAACCTCAAAAACCAAAAAAACCCCCAAAGTTCCTTCCCTATTCCAGGCATTTATTAATTGCCACTTGTTAAGGAGGCTGAGGAAAGCAGTGTGCATCATGACCAGATTTCAAAAGTGAACCATCCAAGACCAATCTCTCCAGTGCACATTTAAAAACCTGGAGATTTCCAGGGCTGCTACTTAAAGCCTAATCATTCAGGTTTAAAATACTCATGGGCTTGGTGCTGTAGTGACAGTGAAACAGTGCAGAGTAACTTCAGAAAGAAACCAACACATTAAAAGAACTTGGGGATTCTTGCGGGATGCCAAGCCCTTCAGCATCTGTGGGAACAACAAATGCTTTAAGGATAATTTAAATTTGACATTTTGCTTCTAATGAAATTTAGTTTTATAGCATGAAACTCTTCCAAGAAGCAGAATTCCTTCTTCTCTGCAAGTCTAACAATGTAACTGTGCCAGGCCTAGCACCAGTATTAATTTCAGAAAGTCCCTGGAGAACTTACTGTAAAGTGAGAAGGAAAATACAAAAATCAATTATTAAGTTAATTTTAGGAGCACAAAAAAAAGAGGCAATCTTTAGAAAGTTTCTGCACAGAAAGCAAGGCCTGAATTTCTACTTCTGCACTGACTGTGGTTTGTGTTTTCTCTTTCAATGCAAGCACAAACCTTGAGCACCAGTTTCCACACTGCTCAGCCTGGGACACACTCCCCCAGCCCAGCATTTCACAGTGCTCCATCACTTAACTTACTGGTACTGACAACGTGCTCTGAGATTTCTGAATTTGATAGTAACACCTGTCCACTATACCCTACTCAGTTCTGAGCCAAGGTACAATTTTATCATCATTTCTGTGACTTTTTGAAGACTGAAAAATCAGAGAGTTAGTCACAATGTCATACTTCTCTAGCCCAAAATTATTGCTCACCCACAGCTTCCTCAGTATTATGTGGATAGTCTTTTATTTGCATTTCTCTAAGAAGCTTTGTGTTATATGAATCAACTTTCTGTTCATTTTTGTTTAAATTCCAGATTCAAAGGAAGATTGGATAGAACATTGTATTTCATCAATGTGTGTTTATTCAAGGCACCTTCTGCCAGGATCAGATAAAACAAAAAAGTTAACAACTAAAACTGTCAAAAAAGCTTACTGACAGAATTCACCAAAATAATTCCTTCTATGACCTAAAACACTATTTTAATGATGTTCCACCAAAAATACAGACAGAAAAAAGTAGTCTGAGTGAACACCAAGCAATAATTGTACATACCCACGTCTTTGACTTTCTGCTGCATTAATAATACAGCACTATTAGTTTTGAAATATCTGAAGTGAATGGCTCATTAATTTTTCACCTTAAGCTTAATAGAAATTTGACAAACAGTTTTATGCTGAAAATAGACACTCCAAGCAGGACTTCACAGCTCGTGATGGGAATAAATTAGAGCATAAAAGACAGAATAGTGTGCATTTGGTCAAATAAGATGGTTCTGTCACTCAGTTCCTGAAGTGAGCAGTTAGTGCAATGCATTCCTGTGAAGAGGAATTCTCACATTTATTCTTTCCCAGGGCACATTCTGCACTGTCCTTTGCCAGCACTTGATCTTGATTTAAGCATGACAAACCCAAAGATGTATAAACTGACATGTCAAAGACATTTATGTTATTTGTGCTTTGAACTTCCACCCAGCTTCCCTCCATCTTTGTTGGTAACATTCAACAGCTGTTAGCTCCCCCTGGTTGTCCTGCAGCCAGTCACAATGATCTGTTTCTATTTCTCTGAAACATCAGGTTATCTGTTTTTTCTGGCTTTTATCTAACCAAAGATAGAAGCTGCAAGGAGCTGTGCAGCACCTACAACTGGAAGGCTCTGGGTACTCACATTACACCACCATGATTTTGCTAAGCAGCAGCTACTTGATTAAATCTTCATCTACAGCAACTTGCAATGCTGTCCTCATGTCCATTTTTAAGACAGACTCTTGTAACTCAAAAAAAGCAGCCTTCAATTAAGCCTACACATCCCATTTAACCTCTGCTAGGCCCACCTGCTACCTCAAAGTCACTGACATATTTTTTGCCTTCCTAAATTTTCTCTTTGAACAAAGAAACTCATTCTAGCTCTTATTTCTTGCTGAAAGTGGATATAGTCAGAATATTGACCCAGAAAAACTGGTGCTGTTCTGCAAGCAGTTATGAACAGGAATTTCTGGGAAAGCACTCCCCAACTGCTCACCAAAGCCACATAAAGGTTTTTCTGCATATTAAGTCAAACAGAGACCTCTTCCTATGACAAAAACAGTGCTGAACAGTCCAAGGTGTTTAAAATGGAAGTAAGAATGAATTTTATTAATGCCAAGGAGAAGACCATAACTTCTGACTTTCAAATATCAGCAAGGAAAATAAAAAAAGAAAAAAGAAAAAAACACAAAAAAAACTGGCTCAGAAAAAGTTACTCAAGAGGAGCAGAATCTGGAGCAGGCGCTTACAGAGCAGAACTGGTAACAAGCAGTTTCCTGTTATGTCTTTATTCACTTCTCTATGAATGATCCACTAGAATTGCAAAGTGGAACATACGCCAGTTTTGAAGTGCTTTGCTTCACTAACCACTGGTAGAAACATGGAGGAAGAGAAAAACATTTGCTTCTTTTTCATAAAAAAAAAAGGCACTTTGAAATTCTGCAACCAGGGATTTTACCAACAGCCAGAAGAGTTCAAAGCAGCTTTACAGGCAATGGAGCATGAGATGATGAATCACAGCAGCATTGTGTGGCAGCTTGCATTTCAGGATGCATGGCCACAAATGGACAGGGGACGCTCAGAACTATGTAGTGATTGGAGATATGGGTGAGGGAGATGGCTGTGCCTGTGAAAGGCTTATGCACATTTACAGAAAATACAGAA